TGGCAACTGGAAATTGCTGGTTCTGGAGCGGTTGGAACAGAGCTAAAATTCTTTGCACGTTTTTTGAATCTTAATCTTCGTTATCAACATTGCGTTAAGAACTGAGACCTGTAACTGGTTTTTTTTTTTGTCGTCCACAGTTTGTTCATCAAAGAAAAGACCCCTTCTACTGGTGCGTTCGAGAACCAGATGAGCCATTGACCAAACACTCTAGTCCTCTGACTGGGTGTCTATTCTCGAAACCGGGGAACAGCGTTCTCATCAGAATGAAGGTTCCGTCTTAGTCGCCCATATTTATATTTCTATAACACTGACAAAGACAGCGCAATCTTTCTCGTGAGAACGCTGTTCAGTGTTCGCCGGTTTCGAGAATAGACACAGACACACTGGAGTGAAATTTAAGCATATAACATTTATAATAAGTATGACATACGACCTGATTTATGTTTTTTTACGCCATTATTTTTTTTTTCCGTGGGGTTTGGGAAAACGGGACAATTTTGCGTCTCGCAGTGTTTTTCGGGGACACCGGGACGGAGAGCCGAAATAAGGGACTGTTCCGTTGAAAACGGGACGTAGTATGGTCACGTTAGTCATATGTAAAAGGCCTAAAGGATTATTCAGATGTTCTTCAGGAAATTATTTCTGATGACAAAACATACACTGGACCGGAAAACATTACTAACGGCTTTGCTGTTTTTTTAAATCAGTTTTGTAACTTGCAGTAAATTTCCTGTAAAGTCGCACTTCTGCGACAATTTGATTAGCAGGACTGAAATTCAAAAGGCTATTATAAAGATTAAGGGTAACAAAGCAATAGGTCCTGATGGAGTACCTGCTTATATCATAAAGGGCTGCAGTGAATATTTGGCGTTGCCTCTTGAATTTCTATTTAATTTTATTTTTAAAATGTCTATGTAACTACCCTGATAAATGGAAAACAAGCAAAGTTATACCTGTCTACAACGCTGGTGCCACAAAAGACATAAAAAATTATCTTCCTATCTCAATTGTATGTGCAATCTCTTAAGTTTTTGAAATAATTATTTTTGATCGATTATTTAATGAAATTTCGGGCAAAATAACATCATACTGAGGACCACCTATTTAAAATATTATTTCATAAAATCTTATCTTTTTAAAAAAAGGTTTACTGAATAAAATTGAATGTTGCAACCATGTATGCGCGGTACAAGTTTATAGGAACGAGCGCGCCACAGAAAAATGAAGGTACCGAAAACCGAAGAGGATAGAAGAGAAGAGACGATGAGGCATTAGAAAAACGAGAGAAGAAGCTGGCGCTGTTCCTTTAAACGATTGTCTGAAATTATTCATTAATCAATTTTCATTTCTATTTTGCATTGAAATTGATTGTTCAATCCAATTTGTTATTAGTGTGTGTTTAAGGAGCGTACAGGTTAGTGGATTAATTATTATTTTGTTTTTGAAAGTTCAATTTATTTATGCAAGTTCTTATTATTCTATTCATTTTTATGTATTTTTTGTTTGTTTATGACAATTTTTTATAAAATGTGCATCGTTTATGTATTTAACCAAAATCGTTTCATGCTGTAAACAACACAGATAAAGAGTAAATTAAAACCTCAATCAAGAAATTATGTGCTGTCTTTTTGTGCTGAGATTTTGTGTATTTAGAGCGTGCATTAGGGCCTTGTTGAATTTACTAACATTTTCCTACCCTGACGAGCGAATATCCTACCGAACAAAGGAAAGAGATATTGGCTCAAAAACAACTATAGCCGTGAGTTTACGTAACCAGGGACCTCGGTACCTGCCACAGATGGGCTAACTAACCAAAAACTCTTCAGTTTTGATTATAGGTAGTGTTGATTGAATGTAGTGTGTGTAATTAAAATTTTAGCACCAGAACAAAGGATGATACCTAATTTAAACTTTTATTGACTTAAATTATTGAATTAATGACTCACAATTATTATTAAAATGACACAGTATGTTTCGATTTTTGAGGAATGTTAGACCAAGTGTTTCTCTGCCGTGCTCTTTCCCCTCGTTAGTTCCAGGTCGAGAACGGTACGTTTTTCTTTGATTCACAAATTTTTCGTTTCTTTTACATATCACAACTTCCCTTAAATTTCCCAAATATTTGCTATGTCGGGCGCATGTCCAGTAAGTAAAATTGAGTAAGTTTCCACAACGTAGGTCCTATTTGTTTTTCATTTAATTTTTCAGAAGATTTGTTGTTTAAAAAGTAATAAAAATTCTCATCATTCAATCTTACTGAGCGAACCCAGGTATGTTATACTACACTATGTAACGGATAAAGATCGTTATCTCTATCGCTATGGCACTTGCTGTCTTCTCTTTTTTTTTCGAAATCAATAGAGAAGAAACGTCAATAGAGATAGAGAAAATATTTCTTTGAAAAAAATAAGATACGACAGTTCGTGAGATAGGGGACGATATATTCAATAATCACTAATTACATGTATTATATAGTAAAAATCGGCCAAGAAGAAGCCATTAACGTCATCACTGACGAAGGAGGGAAATTATCTTTTCTTTTTGAAATGAGACAAACGATAACGCGTGTGTATTTTTCTTGTAGTTGGTTCGAACTTTAATAATTATTACATGACGTTTTTTACACAATTTCAGAGAGTATTGAACGCACTTGTTTGTATAAAAGTCACGAATTTAAGTGGTAAAATTTATTATGATGTGATTAATCAAAAACCTAGATACAAAAACACTTCGTTTCCTTATTGATTAATACACATTTGAGAGTTTTCTCATTTCATTAAAATTTACCAGGTATTGATAGCAAAGGGCATTTTTTAATCCAATATAGGGTACTTGCACATTTTTGAATTAAATCAATTTCTCATTTTTTGTCTATTCCTGGCTCATGAATTTTCGGTTTTTTGTAAATATTTATGAATAGAGGAAATTGAATACCTTGGAATAAAAACAAAATACATGTCTACTACTTGTCTATTATTTTTTTTCTCAATTTCTCTGCAATTTCTTCTCTGTATTACTCAATTTTTCCAACTCAAATATGGTCTATTCTCGGCTCTTAAAATTGTCAAAATAAGGAAAATTCAAAAGCCTGGAAAAGGAAAAAAAAATAATTCCACTCATCTAGCAACCTTTTTTTGCATTTCTTCTCTCTATTCCTTCAACAGGCAAAATTTTCCAGAAACTATTTTATACAGAAAATGCTAATTAAGTATGCAGTCTTTTGGAAACAATAAAAGAATGTGACTAGCAATCGAATTTCCTATTTTTTTCATTTCTACGGTAGGCGATAAATGAAATATTTCTCACCTTGGTATGTAATATACTATTACCAGAGACCATTCAAGAATAAATATATAAGTAGTGTGCTTTGGTACAAACCCTATACTACGTTTTTTTTACTTTATGGATCTATGTGGATTTTGGAAAATTTTGAAAGGTCATAACTTTTTTTCTATTTAAGATAGAATGAAATTTTCAACGATTTTTATTCCAGTAGAGGACTACAATCCCAGAAAATTTCAACTCATTTGGACGTATAGTTTTAGAAATAAGGTCGTGTTAAGCAATTTGGGATGAATTTATCAATTTTTCAATTTTTCTGAGTGTCTTTTTTCATAGATTTCGGCTTCATATCTCGAAATAATTTAGTGTATGGAGTTTGGGGGATCCTAAAGGACCATTAAGACACAAAATCACAACGAAAAAAAATTTAAATTTCATTGTTTTAGTACTTATGATTAAGATTTTGGAAAACTTTGGCAAGTCATAACTTTTTTTCTATTATAGATAGAAAGCTGAAATTTTCAGCGATTCTTATTCCAGTAGAAGAATACAATCCCTGAAAATTTCAACTCATTTGGATTTATAGTTCAGAAATAAAATCGTGTTAAACAATTTGGTGTGAATTTATCAATTTTTTCTCAATTTCTGAGGAATTTTTTCTCTCTATTTCTAAATTTTTCCAGCTCAATTCTGGTCTTTTGAAATTGTTGAAATAAAGAAAATTTAAGAGCTTGGAATAGAAAAAAACATTAATTTCCACTTATCTACCAAATTTTTCTTTATTTCTCAATTTTTCTTTCTAAATTTTTGTCTATTTTTACTGTGGAAATAAAGAAAATTCCCTCTTCTTATCAACTCCAAAAATTATTTTATCAAAAATAATACAATTTTATCTAGAAATAAAACGACAATCTGACAATGCTGGTACTAAGTTGCGACGTAAACCAATCAAACACGTTTTTTGAAAATTTAAAATGTTGATTTTCGATTTTGAATTTTTTCAGAAAATACCTATATACAATCATGGAGGAGATATTTGGCAGGGGAAATATGATACAGATTCTTGAATAAAAATTTTGTGCAAATACCCTATTAGATATTTCTTAGATATTTGAGTAGAAAACAATAATTTCTTTTTTTTTTAACATGAAAAAATATGACGTCATTTTTCTGTGAGCTATTAATGTTTCATTCGTAAGTAGTTATCCTGATAAAGAACTCAAAATTATCGGGGATAATACCACGAGAGCTTCAAAATTACCGATAATTTTTCACGATTGCGTGTTTTCTATAATTGCAGAGAAAACACGCATGAGTGAAAAATTATCTGGTTCATTTTGAAACTCAAGTGGTATTTAGAGGATTATTTCACGTATGAGAATGCAAAAAATATGGAAATAAATATGTATTAAACGATTTGAACATCTTAACAATCAATACAAATAAATGATTGCTCAGGAACCGTTTGTCTGTATCAAAAATTAGCATGACAACCATGTATACAATAACATGGGAGAATTATCGCTGTAATTCTCTCTAGTTAAACAAATGGAAAAGAATATGTAATTCTGAAAATCGTCACTTGTCTTATGGGATTTCTAACACATGAGTGGAATAATCGTAAAAATCTTTTTTTTTATTACTATAAAATTGTCCTATTAAAAACCTTAACATGTTACAGCGCAGCAAATTGTTTTACATAAAAAAATACTTACTGTAAATGTAAATGGCACCGTGTTAATTATTTCTAGAACGAAATGGAACGATAAAAGCTGCTGCCATATATTACCCTGAAAAGAGAACAGAGATTATAAATCACGTTTTGCTATAGACAGAACAGAACGAAAACGAGAAAGTTGTATATAGGAATAGATCGTGTATAAAGGGGGAAAATTTAGTGTTTCAATTCAACGAACACGTATAATTATAGAGAGAAGGGTTGCGGCGGCAATGAATAATTAATTACAAGCCCAAAATAGGCAATTTTCTATTGAAATAAACTTTAAAGTTTGACTTAAACTCTGTCTAACCAAAGTTGAACGTTGAAGGTCACATACTCATCCTTGTAACCATAGAATTGACACGTTTGGGCCTATTTTGGGTTGATAAACACAGTGCGCGTGCAATAAAGACAGCAGCAAAAAGCAAAGTCTGTCATATATTCGAGTAAGTGACCTTCAACGTTCAACTTTGGTTAGACAGAGTTTACACTTCAATATTATTACCTTGTATCCGAGATATGCTAACAAAACGGCCTCCAACAAACTGATAATGGCCAAAACGACTTGGACCACCCAGAGTTCGAGGGGGCGGTTCACCCACATGATCGCATCCCAATTGATAATGGGATTCTCCTGGAATTTCTCTTCTGTCAGATTGGCCGAGAGAATGTATTCTGTTTTGTTGCTTGGTACACAGCCGTAACTGAAAATAGTTATTTGTTGAAAAAAGCTGCAAACAATCCATTTAATATTCACTGAATAAGCCCTACGCTAGTTATTTTCAATGGAATCGGTCACAAAATCAAATCAAAGACTGATGAATTATTTATATAATTTTTTTTTTTTTATACGATAGCCTAGATGTTGGTTTTGGATAATGGTAAATCGATTTTCGTACACTTACCATGTTGCATATGTGGGATCTAGGTCGGTAACAACCCGGATTATGTACAGAGCACATGTGAGTAGTTTTAAAAATAGATTGGCTATTCGTATCCTAAGACCTGGAACAAAACAAAAAAAAAATGTTATTAGAATAAAAAAAATGCTTACCTACTATATTTCTGTTTTAATTTGAGGCCATATTATTATAGTTTGGTTATTATAGACATTTTCCAAAAGATGAATGATCAATATGTTGGATAAACTAATATTCATATCAGTGAACCAAAAATTAATAAATTAAACTTTGATTATAAGCCTATACTTTGCTAATTTATATTGCAGCTATAGATGACTGAATATGTTTATAATAGTTTTTATATGTAAGATAAACAGATGAGGAATTGTTTACTTAAGAAAGGGTTTGTAATTCTTTGTCTTTCGATGTGAGAACTTTATTTCTTGGTCCAATTCCCAATACAATGCGTATATTATAGAATGAGTTAACAAGTCAGCAACCGAGGGTTGGTTTTTAAAAAATTGACTTTATTAACAATTCGAAATTATTACTAGCGAAAGCACATTACAATAAAGTTATAAGTATAATAAATTTCAACTGACTGACTATCCTAAGAAAATACATATACTTATTTATAATAAGTTGAAAAGCAGAATAAGCATTTTAAATGAGAATTCAGCAAATAGACGTGATATAACTAATGTAAATTTTACTTGTTTTAAAGTGCATCATACACTTTTAACTTCTTCTCAGTCTCGAGAAGAAATCGATATCAGACGAGATCTCTAATTTTCATTAAATTTTGATCGTAAAAACACAAGTTTTAATTGACTTTGGCAAAACTGCAACAACAGTTCTTTTTCAGTCAGTCATTAAGCTTTTGACGGACGAAATAACCTTTTATTAAAAGCGGAAAATCGTTACATTTAACTTCCTGCCTTTAGCCTTTGGGAAACGGCTGAATTACGAATATTAGCGTTGATATAGCAGGAATTGATGTTAAACGGACCCAGGCTTTATTGCATTATAAAGATAATACTCAACGGAATACAGATTAATGGCGTTGAAGTTAGTGCTTTTGCCATTTTAATAAGAAGTGAATTGAAATCTAATATTTCTAATCACGGTAATAATTGGTGCATACCTTCAGTCAGTTACTTAATCCTGACATAGAAAATCCAATTTGTCAATTTGCTGCCAAAGATAAATTGCTAGTAGTCCAATTGGCCCAGTTTGTTAAAGTGAGACGTTTTAAAACTACCAGGATATATCCTTAAAGCGAGTCTAATCAATTATTAGCCGAGCACCACTGATTTACTATGCTTACTCGAGCGGGTCATGAATTTTTTACCTTTCAAGGGAAAATCATTCGCGACTTTTCCATTGAGTCACGAACTTTCCGGCCAGAGTCGATTATTGGCTCAATATACTTGAGTAAATAGAGTGGAACGGGTTTGAGAATCTTTTACTTTTTAAGTAGGTAACTGAAACACGGAAAAAGGAACTTTGAAAATATTAGGAAAATACTTTGAGCCATCTCAGCCATTTGAAACTTTCAGGATTTAATAATTAGAGTTTTTTCATTATATATAACAAATTGGGAGTTAATATGAAACTCACAACTAAAGTTGCGAATATTTTTACTCATTGATACCTGAGAACATCATAACATTCCTGTAAAATCGTCTTTTAAGGTTCCTGAAAAATACTTTGAGCCATCTCAGCAATTTGAAACTTTCAGGATTTATTGATTAGAGTTTTTTCATGATACAAAACAAATTGGAAGTTGATATGAAACTCACAACTAAAGTTACGAATTTTTTTCTCATTGATACCTAAGAAAATCATAAAATTTCTGTAAAAAGGTCTTTGAAGGTTCCTGAAAAATACTTTGAGCCATCCCAGCAGTTTGAAACTTCCAGAATTTAATAATTAGAGTATTTTCATGATACAAAACAAATTTGAAGTTGATATGAAACTTACAACTAAGGTTATGAATTTTTTTTCTCATTGATACCTGAGAAAATCATAAAATTCCTGTAAAATCGTTTTTGAAGGTTCCTGAAAAATACTTTGAGCCATCCCAGCAATTTGAAACTTCCAGGATCTATTGATTAGAGTTTTTCCATGATAGAAAACAAATTGGAAGTTGATATAAAATGCACAACTAAAGTTACGAATTTTTTTTCTCATTAATACCTGAGAAAAATCATAAAATTTCTGTGAAATCGTCTTTGAAGGTTCCTGAAAAATACTTTGAACCATCCCAGCAGTTTGAAACTTTCAGAATTTATTAATTAGGATATTTTCATGATACAAAACAAATTTGAAGTTGATATGCAGCTTACAACTAAGGTTATGATTTTTTTTTCTCATTAATACCTGCGAAAATCATAAAATTCCTGTCAATTCGTCTTTGAAGGTTCCTGAAAAATACTTTGAGTCATCCCAGCAGTTTGAAACTTCCAGGATCTATTAATTAGAGTTTTTTCATTATAGAAAACAAATTGGAAGTTGATATAAAATGCACAACTAAAGTTACGAATTTTTTTTCTCATTAATACCTGAGAAAAATTATAAAATTCCTGTGAAATCGTCTTTGAAGGTTCCTGAAAAATACTTTGAGCCATCCCAGCAGTTTGAAACTTTCAGAATTTAGTAATTAGAGTATTTTCATGATACAAAACAAATTTGAAGTTGATATGAAACTTACAACTAAGGTTATGATTTTTTTTTCTCATTGATACCTAAGAAAATCATAAAATTCCTGTAAAATCGTCTTTGAAGGTTCCTGAAAAATACTTTGAGCCATCCCAGCAGTTTGAAACTTCCAGAATTTAATAATTAGAGTATTTTCATGATACAAAACAAATTTGAAGTTGATATGAAACTTACAACTAAGGTTATGAATTTTTTTTCTCATTGATACCTGAGAAAATCATAAAATTCCTGTAAAATCGTTTTTGAAGGTTCCTAAAAAATACTTTGAGCCATCCCAGCAATTTGAAACTTCCAGGATCTATTGATTAGAGTTTTTCCATGATAGAAAACAAATTGGAAGTTGATATGAAACTCACAACTAAAGTTACGAATTTTTTTACTCATTGATACCTAAAAAAATCATAAAATTCCTGTAAAATCGTCTTTGAAGGTTCCTGAAAAATACTTTGAGCCATCCCAGCAGTTTGAAACTTCCAGAATTTAATAATTAGAGTATTTTCATGATACAAAACAAATTTGAAGTTGATATGAAACTTACAACTAAGGTTATGAATTTTTTTTCTCATTGATACCTGAGAAAATCATAAAATTCCTGTAAAATCGTTTTTGAAGGTTCCTAAAAAATACTTTGAGCCATCCCAGCAATTTGAAACTTTTAGGATTTATTAACTAGAGTTTTTTCATGATACAAAACAAATTGGAAGTTGATATGAAACTCACAACTAAAGTTACGAATTTTTTTACTCATTGATACTTGAGAAAATCATAAAATTCCTATAAAATCGTCTTTGAAGGTTCCTGAAAAATACTTTGAGCCATCCCAGCAATTTGAAACTTTTAGGATTTATTAACTAGAGTTTTTTCATGATACAAAACAAATTGGAAGTTGATATGAAACTCACAACTAAAGTTACGAATTTTTTTCTCATTGATACCTAAAAAAATCATAAAATTCCTGTAAAATCGTCTTTGAAGGTTCCTGAAAAATACTTTGAGCCATCCCAGCAGTTTGAAACTTCCAGAATTTAATAATTAGAGTATTTTAATGATACAAAACAAATTTGAAGTTGATATGAAACTTACAACTAAGGTTATGAATTTTTTTTCTCATTGATACCTGAGAAAATCATAAAATTCCTGTGAAATCGTATTTGAAGGTTCCTGAAAAATACTTTGAGCCATCACAGCAATTTGAATTTTTCAGGATTAATTAATTAGAGTTTTTCTATGATACAAAACAAATTGGGAGTTGATATGAAACTCACAACTGAAGTTACGAATTTTTTTTCTCATTGATACCTAAGAAAATCATAAAATTTCTGTAAAATCGTCTTTGAAGGTTCCTGAAAAATACTTTGAGCCATCCCAGCAATTTGAAACTTTCAGGATTTATTAATTAGAGTTTTTTCATGATACAAAACAAATTGGAAGTTGATATAAAACTCACAACTAAAATTACGATTTTTTTTTCAAATTGATACCTGAGAAAATCATAAAATTCCTGTAAAATGGTCTTTGAAGGTTCCTGAAAAATACTTTGAGCCATCCCAGCAATTTGAAACTTTCAGGATTTATTAATTAGAGTTTTTTCATGATACAAAACAAATTGGAAGTTGATATGAAACTCACAACTGAAGTTACGAATTTTTTTTCTCATTGATACCTGAAAAAATCATAAAATTCCTGTAAAATCGTCTTTGAAGGTTCCTGAAAAATACTTTAAGCCATCCCAGCAATTTGAAACTTTCAGGATTTATTAATTAGAATTTTTTGACAATGCAAAACAAATTGGAAGTTGATATAAAACTCATACAGATGAACAAGAACGACATATGGCCATTAAGAGTTTCTGCATATGCCATTTGGGCTGAAGAACGCTCCCGCGACTTTTCAAAGGACCATGGACAGTAAATTACGAGGAATCCAGAACGAAAAATGTCTTGTATACCTTGACCACATTAGTATATTTTCTACGTTGCTACAAGAGTACTTAAAACAACTCAAATTGGTTTTCCAAAGATTAAATTTGTGTAAAAACGTCCTAAGTATTTGGTAATTTTCATAATCACAAAAGTTGAATAAATAAAAACGTATGAAAACCAAAACTAAATAGTTTAATAAATCTTTCTTCTAGTTCAAAGTTTTTTTTCTTCTTTAAAACATTTACCTATTGTCACACGAGGACAATAAAGTTTCCCGAACGACACGACCGAGACTCACAACTTTCGAAAGTTCATTTGAAGTTTTGAAAGGCCAGATTGTGCAACGCTTGAAATTTCGAACGCCGGAGTTTATACGTTATTGTAAAAGTAATAATTCGAGAGAATGTATGGCTACTAAGTGTCACCATACTGAACCTATAGATCTGAGAGTTTAATACGT